TCGGACGATACTCTCCCTCTTGACAGACAAGGGCGTTCCCGGTGGGAAAACGATACCGAGGGCGGGCAAAATGCCGTCGATAACGGCTTCTATAACCAAAAAATAAAATCAGTATAGCACTCTTTACAAAGGAATAAATGACATACCATTCATCGAGTGGAGCTGGGGTTGTGTAGCAGGGAAGTTTGGGATAGCGCCTCCATTCCGAATATCGTAGATTTGCTGAAGAACGCCTCCTGAGTTCTTAGCAAGCAGGCGTGCATTGATAGCTGCGATTTCGGAATTGGTTTGCCGGTGGTGCAGCCTCATGACGTGGTCGTTGACTTGACCGACGAGCTGGTTGACTTGATCGAAGTTTTGGTTGACTTGATCGAAGCGCTGGTTGTTCTGTTGCTGCAGCGTGTTGAGCTGGTTCTGCATCGTGTTGAGCTGGTTCTGCATCGCGTTGATGGTCTGGGTTAAACCTTGGACGGTCTGGGCTAAACCTTGGATAGCGGCGGCAACATTTTGATCATTCGGGATGTTGACAATGAGCTCGGCTTGATCGCGGAGAATGTCCAGGGCTCCGACAATAGCAACAGGGTCGGGAACCTGGGCGGCCATTATAGCGATTGCAGGCGGATGAGAGAAATTGGGGGTACCGAGAGGGAGAGAAATTGGTTGAGGGGGCGAGAGAGCTCGAGCTGGCAGGCCTTATTCCCCCGACAGGAAAGCCAGCCAACCCCCTTCGTTCCCGAACGCGCTTCCCTCCTCGCACTGTATGGCGGGCCACCGAGCCCCGCCACTCCCCCGCCTTCATTTTTCAAGTCCGTGCCCCGGTGAGTCGTGACCCGCAGCGTGCCACCACCTCGCTATTCTCTTTTTACTCAATCCGTTGTCACCAAACCCATTCAGTCGAGCGCAGCCAGGAACGTCACTGACAGCTCTCGCGACCAACCTTATCGTCCGAAGAAGGTGTCGGGGACAGCCCAAATTCAGTCATCCGCGACCCCAGTTTCTCCTGAAGCGAAACAAACCGAGAATTCAAGCTGCGAATTGGGTTTGCTCTGCACCACCTTGGCCCATCACACTCACCCTCTCACCCACTCGAGATCTCCTCCCCCCCCCCCCCCCATCGCTCCCTCACCCTCAGGCCCTCCAGGCTGCACGCCCCCTTCCCCAGACCCACAGACTGTGCGCCTTGCACTGTCGGCTACTGGCACTCTGCTCTCTCTGCTCAGCAACCCGGGCCAGGCCAGCAGGCGCATGCCATCGTTCCAGCACCCAGCACCCAGCACCAGCACCAGGCAAAGCAAATAAAAATTAAACGTGATTCCTCGCTTCCTTCCGCCGGCACACCAGACTCGATACAGTGCAGCGCCCAACCAGGTTTCTGCGACAAAAAGGCGACCTCTCCGCTCAACGCCAGATCAAGTCTAGGCCATCGGCACAACGCTCAAAAGAGCATCTCCACCATCTTGCCCTTTTAGTATTCCTCGTGATACCTCGACTGCCTCAACCGTCACAATGGCCGACATCACAGACCAGCACGACCAGACCTCGCCGAACGACCTCGACGAGCCGCATTCGGTCGGCAATGGAAACACCGCCGGCGAGGGCCGTCCGCTGAAGCGCGCCCGCGCCGCCGCCGACGACGACGATGACGACGACGAGAAGGGCGGTCGCGAGCGTCGCAAGATTGAGATCAAGTTTATTAGCGACAAGTCGCGTCGTCACATCACCTTTTCCAAGCGCAAGGCTGGCATCATGAAGAAGGTTTGTCCTCCCGCCTTGCCCGAGTCGCCTGCGGCGCGTTTCATCCCCCCACCGCGACGCAAGTGACGCGGCGCGCGCGCGCGCGTATCGGTTCTGAACCTTTGGATGCTCGGGAGTTCAATCGCTAACCTGAATTGTGTTGATGCAGGCTTACGAGCTGTCAGTTTTGACTGGCACGCAGGTGCTGCTCCTCGTCGTGTCGGAAACCGGCCTTGTCTACACCTTCACGACCCCGAAGCTGCAGCCTCTTGTCACAAAAGCAGAGGGCAAGAACCTAATTCAGGTAAGAGACAAACGGTGCCCCGCAGTTGATTCATGCTTCGAGACGCGCATCTGACAATTGAATCGCTCCAGGCCTGCCTGAACGCCCCGGAGCCTGCCAGTGGAAACGAGAATGGCGTGGATGACAACACGGTCGAGTCGCCCGAAGAACCTTCGAACGCGCACCTCCCACCGCAGCAGTCAAGGCCCGGAATCCCCCCGCATATGCCACAGAATTATGGGATGGGTGGCGTTGGGATCGATCCTGCGCAAGCGATGGCCTACACGAGCTACGTGCAACAGCAGCAGAGAAACGGCCAGTACATGCCCCAGCAGCACGCCGGGCACCAGTCATAGCCTACTCGTCTCGACCTCTCTTTTAAACCTGCGCCAATACCCAACATTAATGCATTCGTGAAACGTTTTCCTCTCGACATCTTTCGGATGCTTTCCCCCCATCATCTGCGGGGCTCTTTCTTGGACCGGCGTTGACTGGGATGTCTGATGCTCATTCCATCTCTATTTTCTATCCCTCATCGGCGGCGGCTTTCTTCGTGGTTTTTTTCTCCTATTTCGACCTGCCGCAACAGACCACCAGATCTTATCTCCCTCGAGCATTTAGCCAGCCATTTATGGATAAGGGAGCAAGTCGATGGTATATATTTACCAAGTCAGCTGGTGAAAGATATCCCATCACGGGAGGTACCGTCTCTCTCTGCAAGGACTTTGGGCAAGGAGGGCAGAAAAGCAATGAGCTAAGGGGGGGAATACCGAAAGTCGTCAACTGAACATTTCTTCTCCAGTGAGCCTTTGGGACCGTTTCGGTGTCTTTCTTCGGGTGTTGTGTTGAGCGGCAAACGATATCACGATGTATGAATCGAGGAGAGGAGGCGCCGAGCAGGCAACTCATCCGATGCAACCACTACAACCAGGCCTTTGGCCACGACTACAGACTCGGACCGCGCCTAGCTCCCGTGGGTGCACTGCTGGGTCAAGAGGCAGCGGCTCGCCTCCGTCGACCAAGGACCCTATTTCCCTTGCCCGGTTTCCGGGTTTCCTTGACCTGCTGCGGCGGCTTCGCTCTCTAGTCGTCTCGGTGTTGGTGGCAAGACGGGGTTGGAGAATCCGGGCTTCGGGGTGTTGCTTTCTTTGGTCGTGTGCTTTCAGTCTGCGAGGGGGGCACGGTGATGAGCCTGCGAAGGTGGACAGGAGGCGGCATGGTCAGAGGAAAACCGGGCTCGCGACCGAAGGAGGACATTTCTGGGCGGCGACGACGTTGTATTATAGCACACTGTCCCTTTCCATACAACTGAAAATACCACGGGGATGTCTAATTTCAAGGATGAGGGGGGTTCTCCTCGCCTGTGTTGATCTGACACCCTTCTCCCAACACCAAAACGGAAAAAGCACGTCACAACAAGCTTTCCAACCCCGTGCCAGGTACCTACGTCGGACATAAACCCGTCCAACCCTGCGGATAGAGATTGCCCTATTTGGTCTTTTTTGCTTTTCGGCCGAGTCTATTCCCCATGGGGCCATGGCTCGAGTACTTGACGACTCGGAAGGGCTTCTGCCAGCACTTTGAGCCGGACCAATGAAATGGGGGCCGAAGGCTGCTTTGGGAAGGTTCAAGGGGGAGGGGACCTTGGTCCCTGCGCCAGGCGATCGGATCAGATCTGGGGGGATGATGAACTAAAAGCGTGCACTAGTTTGGCTTGCTTGGGAGTTGTAGGTGAGCATGTGTGTGTGCTTAGTTGCAGACCATTTTGGGTTTCGCTCTCAGAGGAACGGGGCGTCTTTCTTACATGATGTCGCTGCACAACGGGTGGGATGGGAGTCTTCTTAGGGAGGAAGGTAGTCCCGTTTCTAAAGGGGGAAGCAATGAAGGGCTTGCCTCCGGGGGGGGGGGGGGGGTCGAGGACAGGATCGTCATACTGTCTTGGGTTCCAAGTAGAATGAAACCATCCATGTTGCCGCTTCGGCCGTTCTCCCTTCCACGCCCGCAGCGGCTGTCAACGACATCATGGTATCCCAAATCTAAACAGCTGCGGGATATGTATTGACTGGTGACGGAGTCCTGGGTCGCTAGGACCGAATGTTCTGCTTCGCTGCGAATGTTCTGGCCCCTGTGTGTCTGGGGTACCAGAAAGCGTTCCTGTCCTATGGACGTCGGGTTCTACCTGCTCGCTGTGCTGGTCATTTGAAGGTCACCATCTGGTGCCCTTCGTGTCTATGTCCCTGCGGCTCCCATAAGGGGGAACGACATATGGCGAGGTCGAGGTGGGCAGCGTCTCAACATCTCAGAGCTTAGTTGGTACTCGGACATAGAGATGCAGATGACGATGGCAACTAGAGTGTAGATTTGTCCCATCGTAGCTACCCCGAAAGTATGCGATGGTATTTTTCTCGATTTATCTTTGCCTTGTCTGGAGTCTGGACCCTTGTCTGGACTTCCTTCCGCCCGTCGGCGACAAAGAGTCCACAAAGAATCCGGCGCCCCAACTCCCAATTGGGAGCGAATACTTGAGCCAGAAACTCGGGATAGCTCAGGAAAGTGGTAGGAAAGCGAGTCCCAATAGCCAGTACGGAGAGAGGAAAGGGGCATGCCGTCGACACGCCGGTTTGCTCTTTACATCGCAGCCCAGCAACCATCTCGCAGGTAAGGTTCTTCCTGGGCCGGCACTTTGCTACCTAGACGTAGGGTGAAGGGCTAGGGCTGTCACGGAAGGCTTCCAGCTTCCATGCTTTATGCTTTTCCGCATCTCGTCGTGCCAGCGCAACAACCGACGTAGCTGGATAGAGGACATCTGTCAGGGGACCTCAAGGATGGGCTTCAGTTGGGAGGAAGACGGCAGCGAGCCGGACTGATCGAAAACACACCAAAAACCCGTAAGCAAAAAAGAGAGATATGGCTACCCTAGATGGTCCTCCATGGAGGAGGAAAAAATGTCCAGATGACATAGATGTCCAGGGACACTATGATATGCCCACTATCAGAATTGAACTGATGACCTTGTCATGTCATATCATGCGGGTGCTGGTAAGGCCCCCAAGATACGAGTGACACGCTCTACCACTGAGCCAAGCGGGCCTTTGTTTACTGTTGTGATTTCGCTTGTTGATGATCGTATCCATATTTGTCCCCGACATGGTCTGCACGAATGACTCGAGGCAGGCTGATGTCGGTTCCCCACATACAAGACCTAGTTGAGTATAGGGGCTGAAGGTGGCTGGCTTTCATTGGATTCTTTAGTGTCATTCTATATATAAGAAGTGCTAGTACTGTATAACAGGAGAAGAGGTACGGCGGCTCGAGGGTGGGTAGGGAAAATAGGGGGAGGTACCCATTGGGATTTTTTGGTTGTGCTGTCGAGATTTGCTTTCGAAATCACAGGGAACCGGGAATCCAGAAAGTAATATCGCCAGAGTTTACTATTGATGCATCGCCTTGATCGAACCTCAAGCCTCGGAATTGGGTGGCGTACGGTTTTGCAACACCATCCATCATCCTGTAAACACGAACAAATACAAAACGATCTGCGGCACATCACCCCTGGACACCCGCTGCTAAGAACAAGCTTGCTTCCGGCAGCCCTACCCGAAACCCACGTTGGTGACGTCCGGCCGCAGTCCCAGAGCCCAGGTTTGCCCACGCGGGTATGAATTGGTAGCATCTCCCATCAAACCTTCCAACCAAATATAAAGTCCCCGACGACTAAAATTCTAGAGTGGTGTTGGGACACAACCGACGTTGGAGGTTGGAACAAAGAACTCGACGCTAAACCCAGTCGTCGTCCTCGATGCAACCTTGGCGAGCTTGGCTTGTCGTGTGGGGAACCCCCAGCGAGTGTGGTGGCCCACATCGCTGACAGGTGCTCGCTTGCGCGGGTTTGAGCACGTTTCTGCAGGTGCTCGCTAGCGTCCCTTTTCCCGTCTCGCGGCGTGCGAGGGGAGCGAGGGGAGCGAGGGCGGCGATGGTTTGGATGGACAGTTGTGAGGAGTGTAGACGTTGTTTTGGAGGTTGATACTGCCAGTTGATAGTACAGCTCCTCCCCGATGATGCGCTCAAACAAAGTGTAGACAAGAAACCAGTATAACTCCGTCGCCCTGATCCATGACGATCCCAGTGTCAGATAACAAACGCCCATGCGCCCTGCAGCCTGTCGTGCCATCGTAACACACCGATCTGATGCCCAAGCTGCGTCCAAGATGAATAATGCCAAAACCACGGACCCTTATCGTTTTAGTGATCGGTTGTCGTGATGAATCGGCCAACGAGAAGGCTGCCGACGAAGATGCCGCCAAGGACCGACAAGAAGTAACCGACGTTCATGGTCATGACGGCCAACATGCTGCATCGCGAAACCATCAGTCCCCCATCCCAGCAAGCAGACCAGGAAAAACTCACAGCAAATATCCCACACCCGCAATCACCGTATCCACCCCCGCGCGAACCGGGTCGACAGTCAATCGCCACGGCCGCGCCCCGACAGTGGGCTTCTTGACCACAACGACATTCTCCTCGACCCCGTTTTCGCTCAAGACCACGTTGGCGTGCTTGGCAAGCGAGTCGTTGCTCAGGCGCTCGGCCAGCGGTGTCTTGCCGGCGACGACGACGTAGCGCCGGTTGAGCTCCTGGTCCAGCCACCGGTTCTCCTGCCACGCCTTGGCCGCCAGCAGCCCACGGAAAAGCGCGCCCAGCACGATCAGGAAGATGCACGTCGCCGCGTACGTGCCTGTGCCGGTGGGCGTCCACGCCGTCGAGTAAAGCGGCGTGGCCGTCGCCGTCTGGAATACCGACATCATCATCGGCATGGCCGCGGTTCCGCCGTGCCCGTCCATGGCCGCGTCCGAGGTCGCGCCGTGCGTGTCAGCGCCGTGGCGTGCGTGTAACCCGTTCATGTTGACGGTGGTGGATGTGTGTCTGGGCGTGGGTGCGGGGATGATCCCGACTTGGAGATTCCCTCAGTTGGAAGTGTGTCTTTGACGAGATGGCGATGACGGCAGGGCGCAAGAGGGCGATGTCTCGGTGGTTTATGCGTCGCTGGATGCAGTATTCCAGAAGCTTATTCGGGTCGACAGCTGCCGTTTAGCCGCTTTGTTTCACACTTTCTCCGAACGATAAGGACTTGAAAGCCTGGGATCGGGGGGCTCGGTGGTATTAAACGCGCGCAGTGTCCTTGTTGGTGTCGAGGGGGGGTTCAGGTGGTCGTCGGTCTCAAACGGGCTTTGTAGGAGGTCTCTGTTGTATGGAGCAAGATTGGATGTTCAAAATGGGAGGTCGGCGCCTTTTGGGCCATTCTATTCTGGTGGTGGTCATCTTGTGGTCGGTCCTGGGGCTGGAAACATGCTCAAAGTGGGGGGGGCGCCAAGCAGGAATGGGAGAGGACCTCCCGCTGTGGACCCTGGCCTGGGGCACTGGCGCGGGCGCGATCGATTTGGGGATGACAGGGTCACCTAGTTGCGATTGCGAGCGTGCGGACTTTTGAACTTTGAACGGCTGCAACAAAACGGGCATCGCTGGGAACCGGAGGATCGCTTCCGCACTTCCAGACTGTCAACTTATCTTTGAGCTTGCCAATTGCGCGAGGTAGTTTCTCTATGGATGAACGAAGCGCCATTTTGAGCCCTCTTGAAGTGGCGTTTTTTTGAAACCGACGACGTTGAAAACGATGAAGGCAATGGTCCACAGAGGTCCAGACTCGACACGCCTCGACTGCAAGCCACATCTGCAGTCCCTCATCGGGTACGCTAGGTCTTGGCTGATGCCAAACACCTCCTCAGAACGACGATCCGACTGTTGCCAGTGCTGGTTCCATGGTGATGCGCCCTTGTTTGGGATGAACATGCAACGTAGGCAACAGCCGTGGCAGGTTGAACCGGGGGCAGTGACATGGTCTCGTCGCTTGTTGCTGTCGCAGCCGTTTTCCGTGGTCCCATCGTCGACGTGCCACGGGCTGAGGCGAAAGAACCGGACAGACAAACGACGGGGAGCTGCAAAGAGAAATCGAAGCGAGAAACCCGAACAGGACCGAGAGGACCTGGACGGGGACGGAGTCTCTCTGCCAGGTTGGCCTGGGGGGGGGGGGTCTGGCGAACTAGCACTCAACCTTGGTGGAAGATGGCCAACACGTTCAGCCGAGGTACGGTAAATACTCGAAAATGAACACTTGCAGACAACCAACACTAGCGACACCCCGAGGGCTTCAACATTAACCCCACGTTCCTACACAGTAATTTAAATAGCACCTCAGGTAGTAGCGGGACTCTCGGAGTCGCTCTGATGGCGCTCAACCAACCACTCTGCGGGAAGAGAGGGCATCCACAACACAACCTGGGAATGGGGAACAAATGGGGGAGATACGGCAAATTTGAAAGTAAGACAACAACCACCCAACGCTCCTTTAACGGCAAGCGTCTTATCAGTATCTCCCTCGTACCTACCTGGGCCCCTAATCCAAAAGCCGTTGGCCCCTTCTCTGTCCTGACAGACAATTGGCATGTCAAGTCAGCAATTGGTTCCCTGCCGCAACCCGGGAAGTTGCAGACCGCCCAACCCTCATCGGTTACGGAGAACGGAAAGGCAGTCAGGTACTTGTCCACCTTCCCTCCCGCTCCTCGACACAAACACGCAAAACCAAAAAAGCCTTCCCGCCGCCCCCCCCCCCTCTGCCCCCCCCTGTGTACCACGCCGTCTAGGAACGCCATCGACCATCGACATGCGCCCTCCTCTTGTCCTCCGCCGCAGGCACCGCCCCTCGATCCCGAACGCCTGGCAGATATCCGCAGTCGATGCCGTCCTCCCGCCCCTCCAGCAGCGTCGCCACCAACCCTGGCAACTCTCTCTGCCATCGACATGGTCCTCTGGTCCTCCCCCCCCGCAGCCACCCTTCGCCGCCCAAGCAACCACCCTTCGCCGCCTACCCGCCTGCACAGATGGATCTCAGCCAGCAGCCAGTTGCATGCCTCCCGCCTTCGATCCTAACGTCCCTCCCGGTTGGGTGGGCGGAGCTTCGGTTGGACAAGCCCCAACCTCGATGCAACAGCACAGCCGGGCTCGACCCGACGGCCCGGACCCCGTCTGCGCGAGCGAGTGCCTCGGAGAGTCTATTTTGACGACAAGTCAACCATCACCTCACACCGTCTTCTCTCAAAGCGCAGACTCGCAACATGACAAGTCCACGATAACAATGGAACATGCCTGTGTGCTTCCCCACGAGTCAGAACACCGGTTCTTGATAGCCCGACCTGTCCTCCCCCATGATACAGGATTCCCATCCAAGCTTACCGACACATGATCAAGACTGGGGACATGTCTCGGTGTCGATACCGCCAAGCGGAACCAAAGTCATCCACCGCAAGGATGCAGCAGTCATATCACTCCGCCGGGGGGGCGTGACACTCCCACCTTCGCTGCAAATCCCCGGAATCGAAGACCACGCTGGGAGGACGATTGGTGTACTGGGAAATGGGGCCCTCCCTGTCACGGTGATTGCATATCAACATCTCTGGCCTGTTCGGGACAAACATCAGACACGTTCGTGGAACCATGGTGTTGACTACCCGTCGTACCAATATTGGAATGTCTTGTGCAACAGTCGGGATCTCTGACCTGGATAGCCCACTTTGTTGACGACGTTGCCTGGGCTCCGAAGACGACAGCTCCCCCCTGAACCTCCCGAGAAGAGACATCGCCATCGTCCCGCGACCCAGCCGTGGTGGTTGTGTATCCCGTCTGAGGACTTGGCGCCTGCTCGGCCTGTTGGAGTTCGTTGGCGGCACAGTCTTTCCGGCTGGGGACAAACCCGTGGCGGGATACGCAGAGGCGTCCTCGGCACTTCATCTCCGCAAGACCTCGGCGCCGCTGCCATCTTTGCCTCCGACATGCTTCTCAGGCAGGTATGACCGCGCTTCATCGTTGGAGGCGGTCATATTCGCCAGCCTTGCGTCGGGGGCGGGCAGCCATGGCAAGCCATCACGCCAAACTAGCATGAGACTCACACATAGTCGATACTGGACTGTGGTTGGTGGGCTGGACGAAGAAGGGTCCTTCTCCTGAATGGGCCCCAGCCTCAGTCACCGTCCACGCCG